CTTCACAGTGGAAGTGTAGTGGTTTGGAGTTACTCGTGCGTAAGCCGACCCCGTTTGGGTGCTTGGTTGCCTGGTAAAACCCTTCGGACTGCACAGCCCATCTCCGCTTGACTGCCTCAGTCACTGACACAATCTGTCTGTGGGCGTTTCTTAAACCTCTGCCAGCATAAAAGCTGTTTGACACCTAATCGTCTCCGCCTCTCATTGCGCGCATGGCGTGGGTAGCGGAGTGCCTGGGCTCTCTTCACTGACTTCCAGGGAAGAATCCCGGAGCCCTTCCACCTCCTCTTCCCATTGCTCTCCTGGACTCTTGGTGTCACGCGTATTTCCTTCCCCTTCCACCGAGCTGAGTCTCCCCCTTGTGCTAGGACCTTCACCTGCAGAATCTGAGACCCTCTCCTTCTCCCGTGTCTCTGATGTCAGTTCCCTGACAGGAAGCTATGAATATGAATGTAATTTTAATTCAATGTTCTTGCTAATGCAGAACCATTTCAGATAGCGTTTGTATTTTGGTCATTCCATGGACATTGGTGTGATCTTACAATATAATTTGGTGGAGTCCATTTAACAATCATGCCGATCCATGAGGATTAAAGTATTTAATATAGTGTTTGTTCCTTGGCGATGCTCTGTGGTTTTTGTGGTTCATTCTGTGGTCATATACATAATGTGTGATTTGATAGTGATTTCAGGGTGACCAAACATAAAAAAACCTAAGGATCCATGGGGATCTGTGCTTCATGAGAATCTTTTTACAGCATGGCAGTGCCCCAAAGTGATCTGGCCATGAGCAGCATAGGTGGTCGGGTAATGAATATGGGGCGACCAAGAAAACTGTGGAGCCGTAAATTTTAAATATATATATATATTCAATTTTATAAGGATAGGGAAGTACAGAAAGGGAAAAGGGGGAGGGGATAGATATATAGATAGATTAGAAATTTAAAAGACCTATAAAGATTATAAAATCCTACAAAGTACTACTACTACTACTACTACTACTAATATTTTTGTACCCTGCCCATCTGGCTGGGTTTCCCCAGCCACTCTAGGTGGCTTCCAAAAACAATGAAATAAAAATACATTAAAAAGTCACACATTAAAAACGTCCCTAAACAGGGCTGCCGTCAGATGTCTTCTAAATGTCAGGTAGTTGTTTATCTCTTTGACATCTAATGGGAGGACATTCCACAGGGCGGGCGCCACTACCAAGAAGGCCCTCTGCCTGGTTCCTTGTCGCTTTGCTTCTCACAGTGAGGGAACCACCAAAAGGCCCTTGGTGCTGGACATCAGTGTCTGGGCAGAACAATGGGCGTGGAGATGCTCCAAAAAGCATGAGGATCCATGAGGATCCGTGCTTCAAAACCATGTTTTTGGGCTATGGAGTTGCCAGGAAGCCGTGGATCCGAGTTTTTTGTGGTGTAAGCTGTGCCCCTGGCCATGATGTGTGATTTGACGATGAGTTTGGCCTGGCCCAATACGAAAAGCGTGAGGATCCATGAGGATCCGTGCTTCAAAACCACGTTTTTGGGCCACGGTATGACCAGGAAGCCGTGGATCCGTGATTTTTGTGGTGCAGGCAGTGCCCCTGGCTATGACGTGTGATCTGACGGTGAGTTTGGGTTGGCCCAATGCGAAAAGCGTGAGGATCCATGAGGATCTGTGCTTCAAAACCACGTCTTTGGGCCATGCCGTTGCCAGATAACCGTGGACCAGCCTGCACCACAAAAAACTTGGATCTACGGCTTCCTGGCCACTCCAAGGCCTAAAAACGTGGTTTTGAAGCACGGATCCCCATGGATCCTCACGCTTTTTGCATTGGGCCAACCCAAAGGTAAAAGGTAAAGGTACCCCTGCCCGTACGGGCCAGTCTTGACAGACTCTGGGGTTGTGCGCCCATCTCACTCAAGAGGCCGGGGGCCAGTGCTGTCCGGAGACACTTCTGGGTCACGTGGCCAGCGTGACAAAGCTGCATCTGGCGAGCCAGCACAGCACACGGAAACGCCGTTTACCTTCCCACCAGTAAGCGGTCCCTATTTATCTACTTGCACCTGGGGGTGCTTTCGAACTGCTAGGTTGGCAGGCGCTGGGACCGAGCAACGGGAGCGCACCCCGCCGCGGGGATTCGAACCGCCAACCTTTCGATGGACATGATGTGTGATTTGACGGTGAGTTTGGATTGGCCCAATGCAAAAAGCGTGAGGATCCATGAGGATCCGTTCTTGAAAACCACATTTTTGGACCACGGTATGGCCAGGAAGCCATTGATCCGTGATTTCTGTGGTGGATGCTGTGCCCCTGGACATGATGTGTAATTTGACAGTGAGTTTGGGCTGATCTAGTGCAAAAATCATGAGGATTCATGAGGATCCATGTTTTTTAACCATGTTTTTGCGCCATTGCGGCACCACGAAACAGTGGGTGCATGATTTTTTTGGTTCCTCCTACCGACTAAGATGTGGTCTACAGTAGCATGGTGTTTTTATTTTGTTTCAATATAAAAATCATATGAATTCATGAGGATCCGTGCCTCGGATCCATGTTTTTGTGGTGCTGCAGCGTGGCAAAGTGTTGGATCCACGTTTTTTATAGTCCAGTTTGTAGGCGTGCCTTCTAGGTGTGATTTGACACTGCATTTGTTGGAATTATTTTTTAAAAAGTGGAGGATCCATGAGGATCCGTGTAGATCCGCCTTTTATGCAGACCCCCGCCACGGGGAAAGACGGGGGCCGAGGCAACAGAAGCCCGCGCATCAAGATCCACGAGGAGTCCCGCCGGGGATTTCATAGGCTTGGTCCCGGACCTGCTGATCGGCACGTGCCCCTGGGGAGAAGGCAGGCAGCTGGAATTAAATTCCCATCGCTCCTTGCTGAAAACTCAGAAGCCGTCGTGCGGGCAGCTGTCTGGAATTTTCGCCAGGAGGCGCGTGGACTTTCAATATAGATAATAGATCCTCTCTCGCTAGCCCAGTGTTTCCCAACCGGTGTTCCGCGGCACACTAGTGTGCCGCGGAACGTTGCCTTGTGTTCCGTGGGAGGGAGGCGGGCGAGTCGGGCGGCGAGAGGCGGGGCGGCGGCGGCGAGCACACGCGGGGCGGCGAGCAAGCTCCCTCCCACATCCCATCGCCGCTCGCTTCGGCCGCCCTACTGGAGGAAGGCGCGAAAACCTCGCGCATGCGCAGGCCTTCCGCCTGCGACAGCCCAGTAGGCCGGCCGAAGCGAGCGGCGATGGGATGTGGGAGGGAGCTCGCTCGCCGCCCCGCGTGTGCTCGCCGCCTGACTCGCCCGCCTCCCTCCCACGGCACACCAGCCTACCTCCGTGGGAGGGAGGCGGGCGAGTCGGGCGGCGAGAGGCGGGGCGGCGGCGGCAAGGAGAGGCCGCCCAGCGCGGGGCTCTCGCCGTCTGCCTGCCTGGCTGCCTGCGAGCTCGGCGGGCAGCACTTCCGCCCGCAGCGCCCGCCTCGCGGCTCTCATTCCCTGCCCCTGCCAAAGCTCACCCAGCCAAGCCGCGCTCTCCTTCCTGCCTCGCTTTGCTGCCTCCTCCCCCCCCCCACCCCCAAAGCTTGGAGGTTCCCCGGCAGGAAGGAGGGAACTTAATCCTCTCCAAGGGCTGCGGAAAACAGACATGCAAATGGGGGCTTGCCAGCTCTTCAAGCGCCGCCGGCTTTCTTCGGGAATTACCGCCCGCCGAGCCCGGTAACGCTGACAGGCCGAGCCGCGGGGCTTGGCAGCGCAGCCGGCAGAGTGTGGGAAAGGGCGGCCGCCACGCGCCGGGCAAGGCGAGACTCAACGGGGAGGACACCGGCAGCAGCGCCCCCCCCCCCAGAAACCCGCTCCGGGCAGGTAATTCACAGAGAGTGGACAGAAGGAAGCCTTAAAGGGCTTCAGCCTCCCAGAGTGGCGGGGAATAATAATAATAATAATGATAATAATAAAATTGACAGGGGGTGTTTTTCTAGGTGAGGGGGTGGGGACTGTAATAACAAAAAAATCAGCTCTATATCAACCGCTGTTTTGCAATGAGGAATTGCAAATAAGGAAGATCAAAAGGAGAATGTTTTTTTTGGGGGGACTCTCTTCCTCTTCCTCCTCCTCCTCTCGTTCTTGCTCCTCTTCCTGGCAAAAGGGCTGCTGAGACCCCTTCTCTCTTGGGTGCCGGTGGGTGCTGTGACGTTGACGCTGCTGTGGCAAGTGCCTTTACTTAGCAGAGTGCATTCCCCTTTACACAGGAGGGGAGGGGAAAAAATTGAAACTTACACTTTCGTGCGTCCCTCCCGGCGCGACGCTGCGCGCTGACGTCACGGGGCTGTAATGGTGGTGTGCCTTGAGATTTTTTTCATCAAACAAGTGTGCCTTTGCCCAAAAAAGGTTGGGAAACACTGCGCTAGCCAACATATATTCCAGATATCCAGGGGCAAGAGCAGTCCCTGGCCCCTCTCTCTGCCAAGCATTGGCCAGATCGCATGGGGTCACAGGCGCCCGCACAGGGTCGGTGTCCCTTTCGTTGGAAGAAAATTTCTCTGGACGACATTGTGGAGACTCTCGTGCTTTAAGAAATAGGGTTTATTCGTCTGCATGGAGGGGGTCCGGAGCATGGCAGGCAGTCCTTCCTTCACTCAAGAGCAGCTACCCTGGTCCCACCTGGGACCAGGAGTTGTGGACGAGCCTCGGTGGCTCTCTCGTAATGCTGACAGCTCTGCTCTTCCCTCCGCCAGCTAGACAGGTTTGCAAAAGGCAGCCCAGGAGTTCCCTTGCAGCTTATATTCTCTCTTCATATCGCAAACAACCCCAAATCCTAGCATTTATTACCCCTCCCCCCACAAGTTCTTTTACACCAGTTACAGTAGCCTCTTTATCCTTGAAGCAAGCCTGAGGGCTCAGCGGAGACTCTCCATCCTAGGCAGGGTCGGGAGATCCCCCCAAGCCAAACGGAAAACCCCCAGGAGAGTGAGCCAGGGCCCTTCCCACGCGCCTTCCTTCCCCGCCCCTTCCGCCCAGCGAGACTTCCGCTTCCGGCGGCGCTATCGACCATGGCGGCCCTTCGGCGGCTGGCGGGCGTGCAGAGGTTGCTGGGGTTACCGGCCCGGGCGGCCCGCGCTGTCTCTTCCGGGGGACCGGCCAGCTCCTCGGCGACGGTGCAGGTGCCGCCCGCCTCGAGCCCCGCGCAGGTGGCGCCTCCGCGCAAGCACCACGACGACGACGACGACGACGACGACGACGACGAGGGGGTGTCCGTCTTCATGAAGGTGAGCGCGGGGGGGGCGGGGGGCGAGACGCGCGAATCCTGCCCGTCAGTTCCCAGGGCCACGAGCCCCGGGGATCCTGGAAGAGTAGAAGGGACCCCGAGCTCTGCGGAGGGAGCTACCTGCCTAACCCAGAGGCTTCCTTGCAAGGGGCAAAAGAACATGGCTTTTTGAATGTCCCAGGCAAACGTCTTGTCACCGGGGGCGAAGCACAGACACCCAGGGAAGAAGGAGCAAGCAGGGAATAAAGATCAGCATTGGGATCCGCTGCCCCTGGGGATCATGCAGGGGGAGGCGGTTGCTGACCCTGGTCCCTGGGATGCTCTTCTTGGGTCTTTTCTGGCCAGCGTGGATGCTTCAGGGACCTGCACCTGTGCTGTGCTGCAGGATTCCAGTGCCCGGTAGCACCTTAGAGACCAACTAAGTTTCGTGTGCACACGAAAGCTTATACCCAGAACAAACTTAGTTGGTCTCTAAGGTGCTACTGGACAATTTTTTATTTTTTTATTTATTTCGACTGCATCAGACCAACACGGCTACCTACCTGAATCTAAGATTCCATTGCTTTCTTGCCTCTGCATGCAGGACGGTGCCACTGCCAGAGAGCAAGGGACAGATCAATGATACAGGGAGTTTCCTCTGTCTTTGAGAAGCATTAAGTGGTAGGTGCTTCCAACAGTGGCATAGGAACACAGGAAGCTGCCTTATACTGAGATCAGATACATGGTTCCATCCAGGTAAGTATTGTCTGCACTGATTGGCAGTAGCTCTGTAGGACAGAGGAGTCTCTCCCAGCCCTACCTCGAAGTGTCAGGGATTGAGCATGACGCCTTCTCAGTGCAAAGCAGATTTTCTGCAATGTGGTTGTGGTTCACTTTCAGTGAATGCTTCAGACTCACTTGTGGGTATCACTGTTGTACTGGGTAGAGAGATATTCAGTGCACACTGAAGATAGCTTTGGGACTTTCTTAATTTTTGAAAAGTGTCACAGGTTCATGTTCTTGGTGATTACGGTAATTTTTGCCCAAATTAATCATTGATTTTACAACAGACTAAAACTAGAGTCACTTGAGCTCCATCTGTCACCATGAAAGATTCATTATGTTTCTTAACTAATGCTATGTGAAAACTAGCCCAGGATAGCACTTCAATATGCAATGCTGCTTGCCATTGTATTGTGCACACTTGTATATATCTCAGTAGTGTGCTAGATAGGGAGAAGTTTTTCTCCCTCTCATAACACTGAAACCTAGGATTACCTAAAGAAGCTGAATGGGGGATGTCACTCCTGTGAGGCTCTTCCATATGTGCTCCTCTGTCCCTCCACTTTGCTGGAACACTTGTGTGGTACCAGATACTTATTTAGAATCTATACGATTCTTTTTTTTTAATAATTTTTTTATTAAAGTTTCAGAAGTTTTTTATAACAACAAAACAAAACAATACAATAGAACAAACAAACGAAAAATAAAAAACAAGTATAATTTCAACCCTTATTTTCTTAAAACTTACTTTCCCGACTTCCTCATACCTCCCCTTTCTGTATTCCAATTTCTAATTTATTATTCAGCAAATCCTTCCCTTATTTTTCACTTAATTTTTAACCTTTCTTTTCTTTTTTACTTATCCATTACCGCTGATAACCACATATTTTCTAACCCAACGTCATTCTAACATTCATTAATTTTACAATATTTCTTTAGATAGTCCTTGAATTTCTTCCAATCTTCTTCCGCTGTTTCTCTTCCCTGGTTTCGGATTCTGCCAGTCATCTCTGCCAGTCCCATGTAGTAGGTAGTCTATCACCGTCATCTGCCATTCTTCCAAGGTGGGTAGATCTTGTGTCTTCCAATACTTTGCGATTCAGCAGTTTTCAAGTGGTCCATGGAGGGAGAAGAGTGTGAGAAGCACCACCATAGAAGGTTCTTGCCTAGTAGCTCTTCCTTTCTTCCATGTGGCAAAGCATTCAAGAAAACAGGACTGAGGACCAGGTCCCGACAGCACACAGGCAGCTTTCCACTTACAGTTGTCTCCTTCGAAGTCTTATTTTGAGGCCTTATTTTGCCGTGCATATTTCTAAAGCTGAGGTTCCGAAGCACAATACAGAGTTCTTAGTACTTCAGCATCCGCAGTGCGTTATTGCAGGCATGTCCAACTTCAAGTAGGCTGTGATCTACTATCTAGTATTAAAACTGCACACTCCCATTGTCATTCTTCAACTTCTTTGCTTTAGGGGCAAGGGGTAAAGCGTTGTTGGTGGCCAGGAAAAACCCCTTTCTTTCCTTAGCATGGATTTGTGGTCGATTCAATCGCCTTCTTCCACGTATCGCCAAGGCGGCAGCTACAGGCAGCCAGTGTGGCAGAGAGCCAGTGTGGTGTAGTGGTTAAGAGCGGTAGTCTCGTAATCTGGGGAACCGGGTTCGTGTCTCCGCTCCTCCACCTGCAGCTGCTTGGGCCAGTCACACTTCTTTGAAGTCTCTCAGCCCCACTCACCTCACAGAGTGTTTGTTGTGGGGGAGGAAGGGAAAGGAGAATGTTAGCCGCTTTGAGACTCCTTAAAGGGAGTGAAAGGCGGGATAACAAATCCAAACTCTTCTCTGTATGGAGGAGGAAGGAAAGGCACACTCCTTTTATCCAGCCTCATCCCGAATATGGAATATCGGCACCCCCGGGCTCCACTTTCCTTTTTTCCCAAGGGGGACCGCTGCACTTCAACCCGCCACACGAGCGCAGCCCTGCATCACTCAGTGAAGGCAGCCCAGCCAAGGGCAGCTTCATTAGCAGAGTGAAGTGAGAGAGGCGTGTGCTCACACGGGATGGTGAAAGCGAAGGCGTAGCTTGCTCCCTCCCACAGCTGAGCCCTGAACAAAGGCTGCCTAGCCATAGTGTGATCAACCAAAATCCATCCTGCGCGATCAACTCGTTGGACATGTCTGCATAGTGGCTTGTGCAATGCACCATCTTGCCACTAGGTGGTGCTGTGAATCCACATGCCATAGCTAGGCTAGGCATTCTCTTTCATAGATGAGCATGTATTGCTTGTTCTCTTTCCTCTGTAGCTGTGTTGCCTCAGGGAAATGTTAAATATCAGGGCCAGAGAGCTAGTGTTATTCACATTTCCCGTGAGCTTTATTGCAATGTTCAGTTCAATGCTGTTTCATTGTCTGGTGAAGTGAGGTCAAGGCTAAGAGGAAAATCTATTGCCTGCTTTGTCTGAAGTAGGTTTGCAGCCATTTGTGCTGCATGGGTGGGAACCCAGGTGCTGGGCAGGGGTTGGTCCTCAGGGCTATGCTGGCATCACCTATGGGAACACTTTCTCCTCCCTTGCTGCCACTTCTGCATTAGCTACACACCTGTAGTATCCTCTCTCATTTTTTACTGAACTTCAGTTACTCCTGCTTTTCACTGGCTTGCCACAAGTAGGTATGTGATGTTGAGTGGAGTGTTGTGGCTCTTCTTTCCTTGGGTTACAGCAGTCTTCTCCAGCCTGATGCTCTCCAGGGACCATTACTCCCATCATCCCTCGCCATGCTGGCTAAGGCTGATGAGTCTCACGACACCTGAAGGGTGGGGAAGGTTGGATTAAAAGTATACAGAGATTGATGCATGTGACAAGGGCAATCTATCCATTGTCTTCTGTCTCAGGAGGAGACATGATTCTGCTCAATTTCTGGCAAAGTAATGTTGAAAAGGGAACACATTTTTGTCTTGAGTGAAGTGTTGTGAACCATTGGAATTAACTCTGGCCAGTCAAGCAAAGGCCCATTAAATCCCTCCTTCATTAGACCTTGGTATCAGGCCTCTATCAGAAGTTGCTCCCAGTGAAACCCAAGATCCAGGCAAATGGGGAGTGACCCAGCTCAGGTGAATGAGGAGCCTTGTGAAAGCCTCTGCTACTCTTGACATGGGAGGGTGGAAGCTTTGAAGAGCCTTTGACCTGCCTCCATGAGTGAACAGCTAAGATGTGCATTAGGGAAAAGGCTGTATGTAAACCTCCATTGTTGTTCTCACTGCATGCAGCAGGTTGGAAGTCTGACTTTGTGCTTGTGTCCTGGCTTTATGTGGGGAGAAGCAGCTGTGATGCATAATCAGAAGGGCCCTAGGAATGTGGGTCTCTACTGCAAGCCAAACGGAAAGTCCTTAGGCCACCAGTTGTTACCTTTCCCTGTCTTGAATCCTTTGTTGGAACTTGCACCAGCAAAGGACCCATCAAATAGGAGGGGCACTTCAGTAGATTTGAGTGCTGGCCATACAAAAAAAATGGTGTGAAGCAGCATTCTTTGGGCAGTAGGTGCTGGTGGGGCAGGGGGAGGCATTTCCCCCCTTCTAACATTTTATCTGTCTTTGGCATTTAATAAAAAACCAAGCTCCAATCCCATGAGGTTGAGGGAGAGAGTATGTGTGTTGGGAGGGTTCTTTTGACATTATGTTTTCTCTGTCAACGTTTATGATGAGAATTGTGTATTGAAGCAGTAAGCCTGTGCCAAAGTGTGAACATAGGCATAGGCTGGTGCAGTCTCTTCCAGAATTGGGCACAGCGGTTTCTTTTTTCTTAACCTGTTATTAGCTATTTAGCATCCATCAGCAGAGGAAGTGTACCATTGCAGGGTGGTGGCCTGATAGATGAACAGATCTGGACAAAACAGCATGGAAAGAACAGAGGCTGCATGGATTTGCAACGTGTATTATTGTCTGTGTGTAGAGGGGCTGCCACTTTGATTTGTATTCTGGGCAATTTAGGAAGAAGTTTCATCAGAAAATTCACCAAGTAATCCTCCTATCTACCTTACCATTTTCCCATTATGCTAGACAGGTCTCTCTCTCTCCCCCCCCCCCCCCCAGTTTCCTGTCTACTGTCTCTTTACATTAATCATCAGTATTTAAACAAAGCCTCAATTTAGTACTTCAAGTGCCATTGTAGTGATGTATCTGAAGCTGGTGTTCAGTCAGTGTGCACACTTCTCTGGAAGGTTGGGAGACCCTCTGGAGATGATATTTTTTGG